AGGCTTGATGAGCGGGGGACGAACGGCCATGCCACTTGCTTGTGAAAGCATGGGGAGTGCATGTCGCACCTCTTAATGCATAAATTAAGGAGCGCATCGCCCAGGAAGATTCTGAACAGTTAGGCACGTGATGCACAGCCAACTGCACCGCAGCACATAGCAACGTTTGTTTATCTTGCTGAAACCCGGCGTGAGAAATGCCTCACCCCGCGTGCCTACATTGTAGTGGATTATCTAATATTGCAGTTTGAAAGCATGGCCCCAGATGCACTAATGCACTGTGCCTGGAATGGCAGTGAATGCATGTGTGTGCTTCACCGCTTTGTAAATCGGCCTGGGTCACTGATGAAGTCCATGTAACCACCCGATGCTCTCTTCGCCATTACTACAGCTTCTGCTACATTATTAAGGGAATATATTTCTCATAGCTTCCGTATGGTTAGGTCCTCTATCCAACTAAGCCGTTTGATGGTCTTCAGTATTACGAGTTTATAACGCCAGTGTTGCATTGCCAATGCCTTTGGTTGTCCTCTGCCTGTGACCAAGTCACCTAGAACACACCCCAATATCGTCATTTGTCAGAAGCTAAGCAAAGTTGGCCTGGATCATCCTAAAATGGGTGGCTATCAAGCACAACAGGTTGTTTATTTATAATAAAGGTTTTTGGGTGAGATGGCGTTATTTATAAATGTGTCGTAACCCTCCACCACCCGACACGGCCAAACAGTAAAAAATGTGTCACGTTTACAAAGGACAAATAGTTCACGACTTTAGCCCACCGGTGTGTTGAAGAGTGAATCAACATCATTATTTGTCCTTTGTAAACGTGACACATTTTTTTTACTGTTTGACCGTGTCGGGTGGTGGAGGGTTACGACACATCTATAAACAACGCGAGCTAACCCAAAAACCTTTACTATGAATGATATTGGTCGCGAAAGCCTGCTACGTGTTAAACTGAGGTTCTCTATTCGCTGCGGGGCCTACTTGGTGAGCAGTGCAGCAAAATCCATTGTTGAACTGTACCTCTATGCTCCCTGCCCTCGCCAACTGCGGTGAACAGCGTAGTGAAGTGTGGTCAAACAGCCCCCAGGGCTTGCACGGCATGGGTAGGCCCCTCGTACAGCAGTGCAACGACAGAAGAGCTGCGCGAGTGGGTGTACATGCCTCGTGGTACGACAGAAGAGGAGGTTAGCGTTCTCTTGCACGCAGTGCCGGTCTGTGAAACGTAATGATTACGAGTCGGTGTTTGTGGATTTTTACGGACTGGTGATTCATCGCCTGCCTGCCGACGGTGCCCGTGACCTCTTTCCGGTAGCGCGGAAGACGATGCAGGCATGGTGGCACATGGCTGCAATCCAAGCACTTTTGGAGGCAGGGTTAGTGGATCGCACTGAGAAAATCAATGTGCATTGAGACTCCCAAACTCACCGCGGTGCAAGGATGGCCAGGTGATGGCAGTAGAAAGATGTCTTTGCAGACATTTGGGTGTTATCTATTCACATTGCATGGTTCTCTCCATTCACTGTTTCCTCCTGCATGCAAAAAATGTGCTGCGATTTTAAAAAAAAGCTAGATACTTTCTGTCAAGATCCTGCTGAATAAGAATCAAATCTCCATGAGACGTTTTTGTATAAATATGAGATATTATTAATTGTATAGATTTGTGGATTGGAGCGATGGAACAGTGGTTTTAGCGCACTGCAAGGAAGGTGAATTCGCGGCGAACCGAGTTTAATTCCCGCCCACGGCTAACACGAGGCCCCTCCAACTTCATCAACCGTCACTGACCGGTATGGTGAAGTATGATCGTACAACCCCCCTTTAACTAACGCAGTGTGGCAAGACCTTCACCCGGCCAGCAGTGGCTTGACAAATGACTACAAATTCTAAATTGAATATGCATTTTTTTTTTAAACAGGCAATAATTCTTGTGCGGTAAATGCGTAGTTGCGCGTAACGGTCTTGGACTTTTTTTTTCCGTCTATTTTTCTCCTCCGGGTTCTTTCGCGGCGGACTTCGTCTCCGCTGACACGCCGAGGTGCTCGTTGCCAGGGCAACGGCACGTGCCCTGGCTTCCCCTCCCGAGCGCCGGTATCGGATGCGATGCCATGCCGACGCCTTATTAGTTATTACCTGCCTCGGTCCGTCACTGCCGTGCAGACTGCGGCCGAAGAATGACGGCGGAGGCGGCTGCTATACATTAACAACAGCCACCACCTCCCGTCGAAAAACAACATCGTTGTCCGGACTCTTTGAGAATATTTAAGTGCTTTAACGCTTTTGATTTAAAGCTTTCGTGACTGCAGGGATTCATATTCTTGGTTCTTACGGTAAAGTCATGTAGAAGGGAAACATAAAATAATAAAAAAATATATTATTGTTTCCCTTCCACGTGACTTTACCGTCGTCCCGACAGTTTTGTTCCTTCACCTGAAGAAGGCTACTTGTGTTGTGGCCGAAACGTCGTGAGAATTTTATCGTTTTATTCTCATTCTACGTGACTTTACCGAAAGAACCAAAGAATATGCTTTACGCTTGTCGACTACCAACAACAGCGCTGTGATCGGCTCGTTGGAGCTGGTGATTTTTAGGAGAAGAAGCACCTCTCCGTGCGTTGTTTGTGAACGTCACATGACGCGGCGTTATACCGGTAGGGATGTAACAAGTCGCCTCCACGATTCTATTAATTGGCGCGAATCGGACGGTGGGGTGGTGGAGGGGGGGTGTTAGGATTCAATTCTCAATTCCATTGTTTTGTTGTCATTGCAGAACACGTCGAAGCTATAGTGATATGAGCATATATAATATATACACCATTTGAAATAATTGATCAGCGTAACTTCATTGGTGTGATTGGATGAGTGAGCGCATGAATTGGCGAGTGGGGGTGAGTGTGTTGTTCTGAGCTGCAGTGCGGATTAGACCTAGTCCTCAACATGGGTGTAGGAATCTACACGTCGCTACAAATCTCCAAGCAGATCAATGATTGAAATTGGGATCTGTCTGTGATCTGAGCAACCAGTTATCGGTTGGATGAGATGGTAGTGTCGTTGATAGAATGAGGTCTCGATAATAATTAGACATTCAAACAATGCGCTATCATATTTTATGACGTGCTTTTTACTCCTTTTAAATATTTTATTTTTTAAGTATCCCCACTTCATGCATCATTATTCATACCACGCAATGATTGTTTTAGGTGATAATTTCGCGAAAGGCAATATCCTAAATAAAGATTGATGGTTAAAAGTATTAATAACAGATTAGGACCATTTTACAATCCACTGCTGAATGATGAAGGCCTTGCCACCCCATGGCATTACTCCACCACACTGGAGCAGTGCGGGTTTTTTAAATTGTTTGGGATACCCAGATTTGGATCAGATTTCACTCGCCACTGATGCTAACCGTGGCTGGGAATCAAACTCGGGTCACTGGGCTCATAGCGCAGTGGGCTAAACCACTCCATCGGCCGCTCCGCCCCCAGCGTCTTGTCATAGTGGCTCAAACAATCCTCAGTATTTCACAGTCAAGATTGTCCACCAGGCCTGGTGTCACCAGTGCCGTAAGCCCTAGCTCCCCGGTGACTTATCTCACCTTCCCTGCACGCTTTGATGAGCCCAAAGCTCAACTCAAGTTCACGCGAGTTAAAATCTTCCCATTTAAACAGAACCAGCCAGAGCAGGCAGCTGCTGATTAGAGCTGAGAGCGTCGCTGCATGTGGTTGAGCCTTTCAATGAGAGCTTTCCGTGTAAAGAGGTACATTTTTTAAAGTTCATTTTTTCTGCTAGAGTTGGTGCGACTTCAGCATTTCAAACACCACCTGACAATTAGCCTGTTTTTTGACCAGTCTAAAATGTGCTTCATGTCCTGGAGCTCATCACGCACTATGATGCTGGAGCAGTGTTGTCTTTGCCCGTGTTCTCTGGTCCTGGGATAGGTATATTGAGGTGCGCGCGTGTTGTGTTTGACGGTGTGCTGTTTGTAATAAGCGCCTTGCCTTGCCATGATGATGAAAGGTCCGGTGTTTGCTTTGCCTCTAAAATTGCGTGGCCTTTTGTGTGTACGTTGCATTGAACCGCTTTCGTACCGTACTGTAACCAACCGTGCTAATCGGAGGTGCAATTAGTGTTGCCATTGTCATCAACGTCACATTGGCATCGCAGCACCGTGACATCGACTAGCTTATCTCTGCCACGGGTAGATCTGCTGGCATTTATTTTGGCATGTTCTGTTTACGTGCCAAACCTTACTAATTGGCTGTGTCGGGTGGTGGCGGGTTTAATCACACATTTATATTTACGCGATCTGAACCAAAAAAAACCTATGTTGACCTACAGCACGCAATTTATTTGATGTTAATAAAAATAGGATCTAATCTTGACAACAGTCTGTTTTGCCACCAAATAGAAGTTACGTAATGTAACCTTCACGTACATTGGTTTGGGACCAGTGTTATCTTGACATGTAAACTCTGGACTGGTCTCAACTTATCAGCTGATAGCCTGTTAAAACGTATACTGCTGGGTTGCCTGACGTTACAGGCAAGAGTAAAGCAGTTTGGAACCCATTCAGCTGTGTAATTAGGTACAGTGGTTTATTGTTGTTGTTTTGTACAATCATTGCGTGGAATGTAAATATTTGTTGTTGTATTTAGTGGCCTGTTATACAAAAGTGAAACAATTTTCCCCCCTCTTAACTTACACCGCTTTAATTGGCAAACTAAAGGAAATTGTTACACTTGAGATACTTACCGCAAATGTGGCACATTATTTTTTATTCCAAGTGGAGACCCTTGTTCTCTCAACGGACTCTCACCTGGACATAAACGAGGGCCATCGGTCGATCCACTCACTCGCTGCTCGCGAACTCTGCTCAACCCTTAAGGCGTCTGCTGCTCGTTCGACCGCGTCTGACCGCTGGTGTTTTTTTCTCGCCTCTTGTGTGTGTTTGTGTGTGTGTGTGTGTTTGTGTGTTTGTGCTTGCCGCGGCTCTAGAACGACATCTTTGAGTGGTCACGTGACCACCGCGTGCACCACAAGTTCTCAGAGACCCACGCCGACCCGCACAACGCCAAGCGCGGCTTCTTCTTTTCCCACGTGGGCTGGCTCCTCCTGCGCAAGCACCCCGAAGTCATCACCAAGGGCAAACGCCTCGACCTCTCGGACCTGGAGAAAGACCCCATTGTGCAGTTCCAGCGCAAGTACGTCAACCGAGGCGCGACGCGGGGGAGGGGTTTATTCTCCGCTTTCGAACTCCGCTTGAAAGCGTTAATAAGTTATCTCTGTCTGGCTGGAGTGCAGCAGGGGCGATGGGTCACGGTAACACTTGTAAAGATTATCCAACGTTGATAAAAAAAAATTTAGTTTCAAGTTGTGTTGCTATTCGGGACCTACCCTACAGATTAACGAGCCACATTAACCAGAGCAAGGACGCCCAGATCTTGGCAGATGAAACAAAACAAAAAATGGCGTTAAATGGATAAGCCCGTTGGGCCAAGGCGGGCTTGGTCCCATGCGGTGGCTGTTTTCGTGAAGTCGCTTTACGCGCGACGTCACCACGTCACGTCGCACGTCAGTGCACCGCATAACGTCGTCGCCCCTTTGTGCGGCTGAGAAGGTGACATCCTTCCCGTCGATGAAACACTTTCGAGGAGAAAAAAGCGTGTTGGAATGCGTTACGGAATCCGCATGTGTGTGCGTGATCATTTTTCCTCTTTTTTTTCTCAAGTTGGGGACGAGAGGTTAAATGCCCAATGTTAAGCCGTGATCACCGCTCGCAGTTAGTGGAGGTTTTTACGCTTGCGAGCAATTCCACGGGCCGGTTGGGGCAAAAACGCGTCGCGTCGCTCGCACGCACGCACGCACGCGGCACTTTGGAAAAGAAACACAATTCCACGTGTCGGGCTAAAAGGGGATCGAGTTGGTATGATGAGCAGATCCGCGAAAGAGCAGGCGGTGCAGTGGAGGTTATGGGCGATGGGGCGAGCGAGATCGCTGGACGTGATAGAAAAAGCCCCCTTCACTGGAGCCATTTTGCCCTGGCACCGCGTGTGGTTTGCTGCCCGCGTGTCACCGTGTCTCTGATTCCCAAGTGCGGTTTGCTCATCCTAGGGGATGTGTTGAGCATTTATTCTCTCCAGCCTTGACCACTACGTGCTAGATGCCCTCGGTCGTGTGTGGTGGTGGTGGTGGTGGTGTTGCCCGAGGTCGTGTGTGGTGGTGGTGGTGTTGCCCGAGGTCGTGTGTGGTGGTGGTGGTGGTGGTGTTGCCCGAGGTCGTGTGTGGTGGTGGTGGTGGTGGTGTTGCCCGAGGTCGTGTGTGGTGGTGGTGGTGGTGTTGCCCGAGGTCGTGTGTGGTGGTGGTGGTGTTGCCCTCGGTCGTGTGTGGTGGTGGTGGTGGTGTTGCCCGAGGTTGTGTGTGGTGGTGGTGGTGATACCCGCAGTCGTGCGTGGCGTCGAAAGCTTGAGAGGTGAAATGCTCAGCCGCATTTGGATCACGAGCAGCTGCCGAAAGCTCGCATGGTGTGCCGCAACGTCTTAGATTTTACACAAATTCCTACTCCTCATCTCTCCTGCCCCCTTCCACCTCTCTTTCTCTTCCCCCCCCCCCCCAAGGTACTACAAGCCCTCCGTTGTGCTCATGTGCTTCATCGTGCCCACGGTGGTGCCCTGGTACTTTTGGGGAGAAACCATTCACACCGCCTTCTACCTGGCGGGGCTGCTGCGATACACGCTGGCGCTCAACGCCACGTGGCTGGTCAACTCGGCGGCGCACATGTACGGCATGCGGCCCTACGACAAGAACATCAACCCGCGGGAGAACCGCTTTGTCACCATCAGCGCCATCGGTGAGTCCGCGCCACATTGAGGCGCGCCGCAAAAGTGGTTTGAGCAGTAATTAATTGTCATTCGTATTCATTCACCCCCTGGCAAAAGAGACGCCATGAATGAGTGGTCACGATTTGACGTTGTGATTTGATTCGAGGGTCGATTGCTTCAGCACCAGCTGGTACTGTCTGTCCCATTCTGCCTCATTGTCTTATCAGCTTAAAGGTAACAGGGAGTTTGAGCGAGCGCATCCTAAACTCTTGACGTCAGCGCTGCCGTCCTTCCCCCGCACCTCCGATTAGCACGGTTGGCTACGTGCTTTGCGAAAAAAAGTGCAGCACACACACACGTTCATACGCTGGCAAAGATTGCGCGACACCTTGGGGCTCTCACCGATGGCGAGCTCTCGCCATCTTCCCACGCACCTCCCCTCTCTGCAGGACCTTTCGCCTCCATCTTGGCAACATTACCCAAAGCTCTCACTTCCTTCTCCCAAGCTGCCGCCGAGACACTCGCCCGTGCCACCGTCGCATTGCGACTCCACCACCGCAAACTCTCCCCTCCTCTGTGGCCTCCCAAAAAATTGGTCATCTCAACAAACTCCAGATGTGTTTTCCAAAACGCCACTGGCCAGACCCCCTCGCCTCGCACCCACGAATGAGGCCATGTCACACTGGATCCTTCCAACGAGCCCTACTTGTTGTGGGCAACCTTGGAATAATTTTGGCCGGTTTTCTTAAGAGGCCAGGTTGCTAGCAGCAGCACGACGCTGCAGTAAAATTTTGTTACAGGAGGGTTGTCGTTGACCCCCTGTTACAGACAGATGGATAGGCAGACAGAGCCAATGAATAAACACTTTCAACCCGAGTTTAAAATCAATACCTATTAGTAAAATGTTTTTTTCTAATTAACAAAATGAAAGAGTGAAGGGGGGATAATAATAATACGTCTCTTATCAGTACAAATGTATAATTTACAGAGTGATGTCACCGTGCCCATCTGTGTCAGGCTGGGTGCAATTTGAGGCTACTTTGTATGCGCTCAGACACGTGTGTGTTTGTGTGGCTGCGCGAGGGGAGTGGCAGCACAGTGGTTAGCACGCTGCACTACGAACCCAACGACCCAACTTTGATTGTCACTCATGACCAGATAACATTGGCGAATATTTGAACCGGTCATAGGCCGTGCCTAGGTCGAATCGGCATCAAATGAGTACCTGGTGGTGTACTCATTTGATGCCTGGGGAGACAAAGGCGGTCGGGTATGGTGTTGGCCTCCCACCGACATTTACATTCTTGTGCTGCCTATTATCTCATGCCACCTAAAATTATCACGTGGTGTCAAAGTGCACTTCGCCTCGCACGTATATACTTTTCACATTGCTGCTGCCAAGTCACGGAGAATGGCAGCGGTTGTGTGTTGGCTTTCAATTGCCCAGCAGCGACCGAAGAATAAACATTATGACTTGGAAGGTATCAGCAGCAGCAGCAGCAGCAGCCATGTTTTTTTGCACTGCTGGTTGAAGGCCTCTCCACATTGTCACCATCCCTGCCGCAGCCCTGCAGTGCCACACTCCGCCTCGCTGTCATGCACGTGAGCGGACCTCACCGCTCCATCTCCGCCGCGATCGTCCTCTCGGGGCGTGTCGTCGCGTGTCCTTCCGCTGACGTTCCGTCACGAGCCTCGTCTTGTCGGACGTCATCCATTTTAGCGCCCTGTGTCCTGCCCACGCGCGCACTCTTCTTAACGGTCTACACGTCCCTTACATTTGCGTGGTTCGTGTGGTCAGTCTCCTGCGAGAGCTTTTTGTGTTTGCCCTCTGATGCCACGAGGCAAAGGTCGGCGTGAGGTCAATTGCAAAACCCGGCCAGCGCCGTATGTAGCTTGCAACTGCACCGCACGGAAGCAGTTACGGAAGTAGGCACTGGGTCTCCCGTCAATAAATGGACAAAAATTGTCCGGGCATCATTTGCACGCGCGTTTTGTTGAATTGGGTGAGCTAATTATTACCCGACACCTGTTCCCGCTTCTTTGGTGGTATTCACAGTTGTTCCATGTGTATCTTTATTCGTACTGCGAGGGACAATGATTGCCCCTTCAGGCGTGACATGTGGAACATCCTCCTCTTCCTCACCCAGAAAAAAAAAATGTTGTTCCTTATTTTAGGCCTGATTAGATATCTAGTTGCTCTATGTGATTATGAATGAGTAATGCAGTGGTTGTTATTTATGTACTGTTTGCATGTGCACAATTGTTTACTTGTGTTGGAGATTTGAACGTGTTTTTTTATATATATATCATCACCACCATCATCACGATCCATGGGCTGATAGCCCCGTAGGTGTCCACTGGACATCCCGTCATTTGTTTCCACTTTCTTCTGTCTTGTGCCAATATGCACAAGTAGTGGCTGCACCTTTCCGGCAACAACCTCTTCATGTCGTCATGAAGCCACTCTCTGCGAGCTCTTCATCTCTTTCCGGTCCCTTCCATTTTTTTCCCAACCACACACTTGGGACATTTTCCTGTTGTTGTTGTCCCGTCCTACATATGCGTCGAAATAGTGCAATCTGGCACGCGTATATACATCTACACGCATATAAACAACGTGAACATCGGTCACTAACGATGCGTGCGTTCGCGTGCGTGCACGCAGGCGAGGGATTCCACAACTACCACCACACGTTCCCGTACGACTACGCGACCAGCGAGTACGGCTGGCGGCTCAACCTCACGACGATGTTCATCGACTTCATGTGCTGGGTGGGACTGGCGAGCGAGCCCAAGAAGGTGTCGCGGGAGATGGTGATGGCGCGCAAGATGCGCACGGGCGACGGCAGCGGGCGCAGTGGCTAGCCGGGGGCCCCCGCCGCGTGTGGAGCCGCACGATGCGCCCGAGGTTGGGGGGGGGGGGGCGGGGGGGGGGGGGGGGGGGGGGGGGGGGCGGTGGGGGGGTGGGCCCGGGGGGACGCACGTCACCGGCGGGTGCTGCCTCCTCCCACTCACCCACTACGGAATTCGGCCGGCGGGCGGTCCTCCCCCGTCCCCGCCCGCCCCCCTCACCGCGCTAACCGCGTTGACAAGGGGGGCGGCGTAGACGGAACGGGAGCAGCCCGATCCTGACGCGTGTCTCTCCACGGCCGCGGGAAAATGCGCACCCAGCGTTTGTGCTTTAGACGGGGGAAGAGACGGTACGATGTAACGCGAAGCACTTAAAATTATTATTTTTTAAACCCCCCCCCGAAAAAAAAACGTGCAAAAAATAAAAACTCGTGCGCACCGCACTTTATGAAATTTTATCGCGCGCCCGTTACGCCCCCTTCCCCCGCCCCCCGCCAAATTGTTGTGGCTTCCGGGAAAGTTGATTCCGCCGTGGGTGGAATGCGTCTCGCGCGCGGAAACCAAGCGTGCTTTGCGGAGCCTGGTCGGTGTGCGCCGGTGCGCCGCGCTGTAATTGCGTCCCCGATGGGAAGTGGCACGCTAAATAAACACGTTAATGAGCATCCACCCCCCCCACCCCCACCCCCACCCTCAAAGGACCCAGCGGCCCGATGCATTTTCGCGTCTCCCGGCCCCGAGAGTGTCGTTTTGCCGGCGCCGAGCGCAAGCGCGTGACGCCGTGCGATTGGTTTTTTGGCCCAAGGCCGCCGGGAACCCCCCCCCCAACGCATTCCGATGGCTGCAGCGATGCTGCTGGGCAGACCAGGTGACCGGGTAGTTACCGCACGGTCGGGGTCACAGCTGTGTGTGTGTGTGTCCCCCCCAACTCGACTCATCCCCCCCCCTCCCCTGCCAACCCCATGTCTACCCTCCCATTACTGACCTCTTCCCTTACCGCCCCTCTTTAATCCCACCTACTACTGCCCCCTTCTTACCCTCGTTCAATCCGATGCCCTACCCCTCCCAAACGGGCCCAGGTGACAGTGATGTCCCTTGTAACCTTGTGCTCGTTGTGAACCGCTTGACTTAGCTCTTACCTGTTTACTGTTTGCTATATGTAGCACATGATTTCGAAGTGATAGGCTTATACATATATATTTAGATATGTGATGACAACAAATAATAAAACCACAGGTGAAATTGCTGACCATCTGTTGAATACAATAATTTCTAACTTTGTGAGTTTTTGGATCAGATCTGGAACCTGGAGCTTGTGATAAGAGATTTAGGCACAGGAATCTTCAGTTCGTAATTTTTACAAACTTACTTTTGACTGTGCCAACTAAACAACAAAGATCAGACGACACTGCTGAGCTTTTCATCGAGTTTTATTTAATTGAACTGATCAGGAGGTGTTTGAGTGTATGCAGGCAATCCGATCGATGTCTGATTAACTGCTTTACTGTTTAAAAAAAATAATAAAATATAAAAATGTCGACAGAATGAGTTGTTGACGTGCGGCCACGCGCCGGTTTGTTCCACCGCGCAACGCGAGCTGTGCGGCCGCGGGCTTGAGAGGGGGTTTCGTTGTGCGCGCGGTCCCCGTGTGTCTGGATTGTTCCTGCGAAACTTTGCATTTCCGGGTCTCTGTGCGGTCACACTGGGTAACTGAAGCAAAGCTTGGGCCCAGCTGATGAAGGGCAGTGACCCGCCCACCGCCTCGCCCTGCTCTGCCTTCTCGTGGGGGACCCTCGCCAGAGCATAACCACACGAACCACAACCAAACTCCAACAAAAATCATAACCACACGAACCAGTCGAACTTAATCCATAACCCTAATCGACCAACCAGACCCTACACCTAATCACACGAGCCAAACAGCCCCTACCTACAACGCTGACCACACTAGCCAGCCAGACTTTCTAACCGCGACTGCCAAGCACAGACTAACCCTCGCACTCGGCTTGATTATAATAAAATCAGCCAACGAACCAACTGATGGGAGTGGTTGCGCAGTGGTGTTGGCATACTGCGCAATGAATCCAGAGTTTGATGCCAATAATATCTAGACCAGACCTGCCGCAGACCCACCTGAAGTGCGTTAAAACAACCTCCATGACCAGCACGGCAATGCCTGGGGATCCCTTCATCCAGCAGTGGATTGACAAAAGGGGCTGTACGTTTTTGCCAACCAGCCACTCTACAAATACCCTGACCCGTAATCTTACCCCCCCAACCCACGTTTCGTTACTTTTTCACTTTCACACTTTGACACTGGCTGTTCTCTGCACGGGAGTGGATCATACCCCGTCGTAATGAATGACGCTGTGAGGTTAATCCTCAATCTTATATCCGATATTGATGCAAGGTAGCCTCTTCAACCGATACAGGATCAGGACTCGTGACGACGATAAGATGCCTTGACCTATGGGAAATAATTACTTTCAACCACTGGAGCACAGCGAAATCAATCGCATATTAGCAGAAGCTACATACAGAGAATCTGACTGAATGCTAATTGTAAATGTTGTGGCTTTGCTCTCCAACACACCGGTGTGCTGTACGAGTAACGAATTGGCCACGTTCTGTTCACGTGACAAACCTTTACTTATTGGCCGTGTCGGGTGATGGCGGTTTTAACGACACGTTTATATTTGTGCGATCTAACCCAAAAAAACCTGTTGTGGATGAATGCTAATTGTTATCAAGCCCGACTCCACTGGCGTGTAGATATCGGCTGTGGAGGCTGCGCAACTGCTCTTGTGCCCGCAGACCATGCGAGAGGAAGGGGGCGGGGGGGGAAGGGAGGCTAGGCACCAGGTTACGAAGCGGTGGAATTTGAACAGAGGGCCCCATTTATTCACTCCTGCAGCCAGGACCCATGCCAGCCACGTTACCACACTGCCCAGCTCGTTTGTATCCAAGGCGCAGTCCGCACCCGAGCCATCGTCGGTTGCGCAACTCGATCGGGCGCGACCGAATCCCTTCACGTCGGAACGTTTCTAAAAACCATTTGCGAGCCGTCGCGCCACCGGTTGCTTCACAGCTGAGGCAGACTCGGCTTCCACGCATCCATCTGCTCGGGCGATCTACAGTGAAGTGTTCCTTCATCGCGTGCCACGTGGTATTCGCAAACTACGGTCATTTTAGAATCACGAATGATGATAACAAAACGCTCCGCTTAATATCCGTGGTGCGCAACTGCTCGCTCAGGTTTGGATAAAGCAGCTGCAGGCGATGGCATTGAAGTTGCGGACGATTGCGCAACCGCAACGCTCGCGTGGACAAGGCCGGTTGGTTGCACGCCATGATGTGAAAGTTTGCGGGTTGCGCAACCGCATCGCTCAGGTGTGGACCCGGCGTTGATCGCGGCGTTGGGGGCTGACGGCCGACACGGACTGCCCCATGACAGCCGCTTTCGTGGGCACAGCCCTCGAGAGCGTGGGAGGGGGCCTGGGCTGTCGCCAAACTCCAAAGGTGTCCGTGACCCGCGCCCGCATGGACGCAGTCGAAGCGCTCGGTTTAAAACGTGAAAGTTATTTTAAAAGTAATTTCAATCTTCATCAGTAGACCTCCTTTGCCAGTACCAAAATGTAATAATCGGGGTTTCTCCCCTTTTTTTTTCTGGCAACAAAACTGAAACCTTTTTACAAGGATGTTGCTGCATTAACCACACATTCCAATTGTTGCAGGTATTGTGGTTAATGCAGTAACATGAATCCTTGTAAAAAAAGATTTCAGTTTTGTTGCCAGAAAAAAGGGGAAAAACCCTATTATTATAGGTAATTTCAAGTTGTGAAACTGACAGTTTAACACGTGGTGGGCTATCGCGACCAATATTATCCGTGATAAAGGTGATGTTTTTTTTATTTTGGGGGGGGGGGGCGGGAGGGTTAGATCTCATGAATATAAATGTGTCGTTAAATCCGCCACCACCCGACACGGCCAACGAGGAAGGTTTGTCACGTAAAACAAAGCGTGCCAATTGGCGACGGCCTCGGCACACCGGTTGTGCGTTGGAGAGTAAACCCAGGAAATGACCGTCGCAGGAGGCTCGGATTAATGCGTTCGAAAATAATTTCGTCAGCTACGCCAACTTCATTCTTGCGGGGCGCGTCCCGAAGCCGGGCGGTTGGAGCTTCATACGGAGGCCCCACGTGGAGTCTGACCGGGTGATACTCCTCGTGTCGGGTTCACACCAGTCTGGGTTTGACCCGGGACGCAATGTGGTACGCGATGGACGTACGGTACAAAATTTGACTTGAAACTTTCGTGGCTGCAGGAATTCATATTCTGTGGAATACGTGTGGTACGTTGAACTTCTTTCGCACCGTACATACCCAACCGTCAGGGGCTCAGCCACCCCTGAAATTTTGTGAAAGTCGGTAATCGGTAACCGGATATCCGGCTGCAGCAAAATGCTGCAGGCTGCCACCTTGTGGTGCCCTGCAGGCTGCCACGTCGTGCTGCCCTGCAGGCTGCCACGTCGTGCTGCCCTGCAGGCTGCCACCTTGTGCTGCCACCTTGTGCTGCCACCTTGTGCTGCCCTGCAGGCTGCCACCTTGTGCTGCCCTGCAGGCTGCCACCTTGTACTGCCCTGCAGGCTGCCACCTTGTGCTGCCCTGCAGGCTGCCACCTTGTGCTGCCACCTTGTGTGCTGCCCTGCAGGCTGCCACCTTGTGTACTGCCCTGCAGGCTGCCACCTTGTGCTGCCCTGCAGGCTGCTTGAGCGGCAGCCTTTCGAACTTATCGAACTTATCAGCCACATCAGTGGCTCCGACCTATTAATAAACTCCGCGTTCAAATCCAATAAAATGTGTTTTATACATTTGTGGCGCCCATTGGAAAAGATAAACACACTGGATATCTCAGAATATTGAAGTCAGCCCCCCCCCGCCAAAGTCAAAATCCTGGCTCCACCCCTGCCAACCGTGCTAATCGCAGGCGCCGGGGGAAGGACAACAAACTAAACACGAAAAAGCAGTTCTAAAGAAGTGAGTTTTTAATCTTACCCACTGCACCATCTTCTCCACCGCTTGTGGAAAGTATTTAATGAGTTGGTCATTCCCTGCGGTTTATTTTACACCGATGTGGTGTGTTGTTTAACAGGGCCAGTGTGAACTGAATAACACAAATAAGGAGACAGCATCCTTCATCTATCTGTTACGCCTCGTAACAGACGAAGTAATTTGATGTTTACACATCCCGTCAGCCGCACCAACCTCCTCGAGTAGTGAATAGTTTCAGCAGCATCGATTGAACGCGAGCAAACCGGACTCGTTTAGGCACTCAAAACTACCCCCCCCCCCCCCCCCCGTGTAGCCTGTAACAGACAGACGTGGAGGCCGCAACAGCACACGAGGGGGTGGGTGGCCAACACCACGCCCGGCCGCCTTTGTCTCCCCAGTGGCGATGTTTACACACCGCACCAGGTACTCATATGACGCTGAGTCGACCTAGGGGGAAAGGCCCACGGCCGGTTCAGATAATCATCACTGGGTGTTGGTGGCCGTGAGCGGGAATCGAACTCGGCTCGCCAGGTTCATAGGGGCCGTCCATAAATGACGTCACGGGATATTGGACGATTTTTTGACCCCCTCCCCCCCCATCGTCACGGCGTCACAAAAAGTCAGACCCCCCACAAAGCTCTGCCCCCCCCCAAAAAAAAATATGTAAAACATGCTTCAAATCGCTTTAAACTATTGTAGTGCGTATTTAATGTGCCGCTGCACTCTGATGCTGCAGGAGAAAACATTTATTAATGCTAACCGCTTACGACACCACCGCTCCCCACACAGCAGTCTGGCTCCGCTTGAATCATTGCTGGTGAACTTCCAGATATGTCCCAGCAGAAGAACTGGTTTCTGTATTCATTGTCTGATCGGCAGACTCGCTGGCTTGAACCATTGCTGGTGAACTGCCAGAGGTGTTCAAGTGGAATGGGGCCGTCCATAAATGACGTCACGCACCTAGGGGGGGGGGGGGGGGGGCTGGTCAGACCTTTGTGACGATGTGTGACGAGGGGGTGGGTTTGAGAAATGTGACGTCACATCAAAATGCGCGACTTTAAATAAATATAGACAACACGTTCTACTTAATTAAATAGACTTTTTAATAAATGTTTTCTCCTACAGCATCAGAGTGCAGCGCCACATTAAATACGCACTACAATGACAATAGTTGAAAGCGATTTGAAGCATGTTTTATTTTGGGGGGGGGGGAGGGGGGGTGCAGAGCTTTGTGACGTCATTTTTGCGGGGAGGGCTCTGACTTTTTGTGACGCCGTGTGACGAGGGGGGGGGGGGTCAAAAATCGTCCAAAATCGCGTGACGTCATTTATGGACGGCCCCAATGACGCCAGAGCCTGCGTGCCGTGTGAGGAGGGGACTAGTGGCCACAGGAGGTAATGACAGGGGCATCCGCTGCGAGTGCGAAGGGACTGGTGGCTGCGGGAATGTTCGACAAGGGGAGCGTGGTCAGGTGACGGAAGAGGACGGTGGAGT